TACGGAGTCTTATTTAAAAGCAAAGAAAAAATAGTCAATTAAATCAAAGTTTTGTTATTTAATTTCTTCTTGATAATTCATCATTTGGATATAAACGACGTCGAAATGCTTTCCATTTTCGTGTTGTCAGTGTATTGAATTCTTTCTTATATATGTCTGACGTTAATACAAAAATGAAAAAATGAAGTATCGGTGGAATAAATGAAACGAAATAACCAACCAAGAACAACGCATATTGTTTTGGTGATTTCATACAATTAGGTAAGGATGAAATAATCAGACGAGGAACGGCTAAGATTACCAAGAGAATTGAATTAAGAATGAGATGTTTGTGACGAGAAAATTGTTTTCTTAATTGTTGTCGAAAAATGACTTTCTTTCCCATGGATGAACGTTGTTTTGCAGTATAAAAAATGATACCAATGGCCAAGATAAAATTGAGGGAAAAAGGAATAAGAAAATGAAAGATATTGATAAATCTATCATAAATTTCAAGTTGTGGTGTGATACGCAGTATGCACCACGTTCTTTCTTCTTCGATATCGTCGAATAAACGACGATGAATTGGATCATGAAGAATAGATACAGCAACTAATAGAGCAATGACCCATATTATTCGTTTTACATATTTTTTGCTGTTTGACTTGTCAAAACCAACTCCTAAGAAAACAACAAGAAATCGTTCGACTGTCACACAAGCATGTAACCAATCATTGGTGGCTAATAGAAGCCGAAGTAAATATTCAATTGAACGACAATTAAACCAGAGGAAAGATCGACTAGTAATAATATTCATTTGAGAAAGAATAAGAAACCATAATTTAATATTTAAAAAAATGATTATTAAAATCGATGTTATTGATGAAGCAAATAGATAAAAACCACAACCTATTTCTCGTACTGATTTTATTTTAAATGTTAGATTTGATAGAATACCACTAATGAGACCAATAATTAATATTTATGTTACTAATGTTATACTGATTTTGACAGGTAAAGATTGTTGATTTATCGATAAATATGGTTGAATATGATAACCCAAAATAGAATCAAGTGAAAGACCAGAATGTTTGGTAGTGAACTGACATTTGTCACCATAAAAACATTCTTGACAATTACATATAGTTTTTGTTGGACAATGTGGATGATCTTGGAAGCATTGTGCTCCATTCTGACAATCATTGTGACCCAAACAATCGTAAGTCATATTAAAATTAAAATGAAAACAATTCGCATGTCTTTCTTGTGTACATAAACACATAAATGTCTCATTATCATGAAAACACATCAGATGAGAATGTTGTTTACATACTGTATGATAGTATTTTACACGACGAAGAATCGAATAACCAACAATGACTTCATCAAGAAGTTCTCGAATGTGTGGACAACGTTGTGATGAAGAAATTTGTGTAGAAATAACAACTGAAGGTGTATATTCATGCTGAAGTACAATCAAATAATAAACATTCTTAAGTTGAACAAAGACAAGATGAAAATCTGATGCCATATGAAATGTAATTATCTTTTGATTAAATGGAATTTTCTTGAACATAGTTATTCGACTGGGTGCTGGATCTGTGCTCAAATGATGACGTTTTGCCACTTTGATGAAGTGAATCAATATAAATTGTGTAAGTTCTACATCAGAAAATGATATGTCAATTTGTACATCTTTTTTTTCGCAATTGTCGCCAAAAAATCCCTCTGGACAGACACATGTGAAATTTGTCGAAGAATATCGAGGATCAGATGGCACACAAATACCTTTATTCTTACAGGTATCCATTTGACACATTGAATTAAGATAACATCGTGGACCAACTTTTGTTAAAGAACAAAGACAAATTGATCGATTATTTATGAAACCAACACATACCGAGTCTGGTGAACAATTACATTTATATTGAATCGAAGTTGTTCGATCTGAATGACATTGACAAGAATCAGTGTTAACATTTCTCAATGATTCAAGATATTTATTGCTGCATAATAATCGACAATCTTGATATATTGGAATTGTTAGTAGAGCACTCATACGATTGATAGGCATAAAAAGAAATTAAACTGAAAATATCCAACTGGTAATATAAGTAAGATTTCTCTTATTATATGCATCGATATAGACTGAATAATTCTTTGACATGTTCTTCGGTCGATCTTGATAAAGAAGATGTAAATTGTATTTAACATCACAATTAATTACAGGAACGTATGTAACTTGTTCATATGAATGAACAAGACCAGTATTATCAACAAGTCTAATAACAATACCAATCACATATAATTTTTCTAAGTTTTCTTGACGTATTCGAATAGTAAGAGTTACACGTTGATTTTGAAACTGACAAAAATTCCCATAATAATGTGATGAACAAAGACAATGTACTATTTCATCCTTATCAACAAGAATTACAACACCTCGGTGGCATAACCATGCACGAGGATCATCTTGATATTTAGTAACATCCATTTTCATATTGTCTATTATACGATGTTGCTCATGTTTTTGAACAGGTAATGATAATTGCATACGAGGAAAATTAAGTGAAGATTTATGCGAGAACGATATTTTTTCAGAAAAGAAAATGTTTTGTGCAGATTGTAGATAAGTAATAATATCTCCATTTTCCTCGAAAGGGCGATTACATAATAGATCAATGTCGTCAAAATCATTGCAACGTGTACAGCCTTCAGAAACTTGAACACATTTCGTGTCATTCCAGCAGCGATAACTTTTGAAGCTATCTTTCGGATTTTGTGATTTACAATAAGATCGCTCATCAGTTGCTCCAAGACAATCGACAATTCCATCTTCAGCATATCTCATATGTAAACAACCCATTGTCTCATTCTTTCTAAAGAAACAAGGATGATGATCTGCAGGACACATAAAACTTGATGAACAGTTGATTTCATCGATGCCTTTTGGGCAATTCCATACTGAATTACAACGTGTATATTGGTTGACACATTGCCATTGTTCACCACAAAGAGTTTCATCAGTTTCATTTGTTAAATTCAACATATCAATCCAATTGTCACAAATGGCAGAAAAATGAAGTTGACGAATATGAGTTATGATACTATCCTGAACAAACTCATCCTCTTTGCCCACACAGTGTGCCGTTCGATCATTCACGAGAGTAGGTCGAAGACATTTTTGTTCCGATATACATTGAAAGCGATCTGTATCATTCAATGCACATGAATTAGCTGAGAGTGATTCATCGAAATCGCTATAACAATCCGAGATTCCATCCATAATTCGACGCTTAGAAATACATTTATTTGTTCCCAAACAACGTAACATTGTTGAATGTGGACAGTGAGTGTCATTTGTACTTTCAAACAATTGATTGCATGAAACAAATGGCTCATAGAAATCGCTATTAAATAGCCAATTTGAAGCATTTATATGCATACATGTATAATTTTCCACTGTCAGTGTTGGTATAAAAAATGGACAACGTTTTTGGTCATAACAGATAAAATCAGGTGTGCCCAAATTACTTTTGCTAAATGTTTGAGTAGAAAAGTATCCTAATCTGACATGACCATCCCACACGGGCATAGTAGGTGCAATGAATGCAGGTGGACACGATTGAATAATTTGTATTTTACATTCTTCCTTGTTCTCACATAAATATTTGCAGTACTCATCGAATTCGTGCAATAAAAATTTAACTGATGCACACATGAGAATCTTGAAACAGCGAGGAAATCGTTTATCTTCATTATTGTGCCAGCCGATTAGAAAGTTCTATGCCTGACCCCGCTTACTTTTACAAGACAATGTCTTGTGTGGTATATTATACAAAATTTCATTGTAATCTCCACAAGAATTATGAGAAGAATAATGATACATGATATCTTCGCAGATAAAAACTGGAACAAACCGACAAGAAGCGCGACCTTCGTGTAAATGTTCATCGGATGTATCTAAACACTCTGGACTGATGAAACTATTCAGTTCATCCAATAGAAACACGTTATTGACACACATTCCATTTCGACACTGATATTCGTTTTCTTCGCATGTATTTAATTCAAGTTCGAGACAATATTTTTCATCTTCTCCACCATCGAGGCAATCGACTTTTCCATCGCATATTTCATGCCAGTCGAGACAAATATAAGGTGAACCACGATTGCATTTCAAATATATATAACAAGTAAAACTTGCATTTACATTTCGGTCTCTATATCTATGATCTATTGTTTCGATCAACTGTGGAAATGATTGATTTACAATGAATTTATATTGACAGAGCGGTCCAAACCATGGTAGAGTACAATTATAAAATACTTCATTGGATGAAGATTTGTTCATTTGTAAAAAATGTTCATATCGTTCAATAAGATCAATAGGACTTGACCATTCCATTAGATTATTTCCCGTTACATTTTTCTTCTTCAATTCATCGAAAGTTAATATAGATGTTATGGATTTTTCACTAATGTTTACTCCTGTGTCTTTCATAGATGTTCGAATGCAATATTCAATTATCTGTTGAACTGGATTTTTTTTCTCATCTATTTTGCTCTGCTCAGTTATATCCAAATAGAAACAATCCTGGGAAATATCATTAGTTATTACATCGGTATTGTAAAGATTGTAGAAAGGTCGCCATGTGTTTACATGAGAAGCCACGTAGACTTCACTAATAATAGTCATGATATTAAATAATAATAAGGTATTCATGTTGAGAATAATATATCTAAAATGATATTTAACCTACTGTATAAAAGTCTTGACACAAACATATTTGTCTTTTTTCTCAATGTTCGCCATTTAGATGAATCAAACTAAGAATCTTTCATTTAATTCTAATTCAATAGATATATTTGTTTTTTTTAGATAAAAACAGCTCGTTTTAATCGAGAACATCTTGCACAACGTATTGTACAATATTATACTACTATCGCAAATTAGAAAATAGCTAGAACTATGGAAGACAAACCTTGAAGTGGTCATCTCAAAAGGTTAGCGAATCATCAAAATTTGGAGTTCACCGAACGACGATTTAACATGAGCTAAAACCCATGAACATTGGGTGTGGATGTGGGTGTAGTTGTAGGTGCGGGTGAGTATGGGCATGGGTGTGAATGAGGGTTGGTGTAGTCGTGA